CACTGGGTGTTGTATGGTAACCAATTTGATAATAAATTTCATATTAAAAAACAATATGGGGATAAAAAAAACAAAGAGGAGTCAAGTTTTATACCAAATGATTAGTTTTCAATTCTGTTTGAAGAAAGTAATATTTATTCTGAATATAAAATAAATCTGTTTTTCATTTCTCATAATTTCATTTTTTAAATCAATTTAGTTTTGTATTAATAATATTATTTGACACAGCTCACTACTGATTAGACTGTAAATCAAGTTGTGTCTCTTAAAATCTCAAATATGAAGCTTCTCATTGGATACAGAAAGTCAGGAAATAATTTCTCAGATTGTGAAAAAGATACTATAGAATCTTTATGATTTTTGGCTTTTTAACCACTGCTTTCTGTCTTTAGGCTTAATCCAGACAATTACATTTTAGGTTGCAGTTGACAAAGGAAGCTGTGTACATATATATTGTTGTTTTAATCTGAGAACTAGCTTTAAAAATAATTACCATGGTGTGTGTGTGTGTGTGTGTGTCTGTCTGTCTCTCTGTCTGTCTCTTCCTCTCCCTCTCCCTCCCTCCCTCCCCCCACTCTTTTCCTTGCAAAAATTTCCCTCATTCCATTTTGGCTTTCTTCATTTTCTCTTCCCGATCTGTTGGCCTTTGTTTTTTTCTGAGGTCTTAGGAGAATTGTTTGGAGAAATACACACGAATAGAGTTTTGAACTATTTGGATGTAAAAGAGAGGGGTGAAAAAATAAAAACTGATATTATGGAATAAGAAAAGGAGAAACTTTTTTTTGTCAAGAAATAATAGGTTTTAGACTCTCAATAAATTTAAAATCAATTTAAATATATGACTTAAAGGTACAGTAGTAAAATACAGATAACAATATGAAACTAAGAAGGATGTGAACATTTTTGGAATTACCTTCAGAAATTGTAGTCAATTCTTAGAATGTCCTGAGTGGTAAATACTGACTTTAATGACTGCTACAAATTAATAAGATGTCAAGTGTGGTGGATGAGATGGATGAACTAAACTCGGCAATCCCCATTTTCTCTTTAAGTGTGTGACAATAAAGCCATGTGACTTTTTGCCTGATACTAGAAACATTTTCTGAAGAAAACTGCCAAAAATGTTTTGAACAAAGGCAACATTATTGGAATAAGTGATAATTACTTTGAGTTATAATAATAATATGTCCTGACATTTTCTTTTTTAAATATATCCTTTTTTTTTTTTTAAATGTTTATTTACTTTTGAGAGAGAGCGAGTGAGTGTGAGAACACAGGCAGGGGAGGGGCAGAGAGAAATGAGAGAGAGACACACACAGAATCCAAAGCAGGCTCCAGGCTCCGAGCTGTCAGCACAAATCCTGACATGGGGCTCGAATCCACGAACCTCAAGTCATGACCTGAGCCTAAGTCGGACGCTTAACTGACTGAGCCACCCCAGGTGCCCCTGTCCTGACATTTCCTAAATTATCAGTTTGATTACTTTAGAGTTGTATAAATTATCAGTTTTATTACTTCAGAGCTGTACTTTTTTTCTTTTATACTGTGACTACCCCTGCTTATTTATTTTTTTACTACATTGTTCTTTTCTGTAATTTAGCAGATTTTTAAAAAATTAAAGTTCAGACCAAAAACATGTTTCAAGGTAAAAGTAAATTTCTTATAGAATTAAAAAGGATGGAGGTTTTTGTTTTAAAAATCAGAGTAGACTCACTTTCTGTTCATTAATGTCAGTGGTGATTTGTGATAAAGTCAAAGGTATTTGAAGCAGGTAATTGAGGTCTTGTCAGTCCAGTGAAAAGTAAGCCATTTCTACATTACAAGCTGAATACAAATACTTGCAGGAGTTTTTTAGATTCATTGTTCAATTTATTCCTAGTGTTCTTTTAAGGAAGTTTCTCCACTTAATGGTAAATCAGACATGTAAGCAATTTTGCTTACATGTCTGATTTACCATTAAGTGGAGAAACTTCCTTAAAAGTATTACTAAGTAAAAACTCTTTTGCTTCCTTCCATCATTTGATTTCTATCATAATTATTTTCTAGATCTCAGCATAATTGAAGCTATTCTCAGAAACCTCTCTCTCAGAATACATGGGATATTTTACTTAAAGTATTTCTTTTCTTTTGTTACTCTCCTGCTAGATCCTACAGAGGATAATGCTCAGTGGTATGTTATCTCTGGAGGAAAGAAAAAAAAAAAACAACAACTACAGGCTGAGCTTTGAAACTAAAGTCTTTGTTAAGGACCATTTAAATTGAGTATAACTGACTGAGCTTACTCCACATGGTCAAGTGACTTTTTCTTTTATTCTTAGATAACAGGCTGTTAGTACTGGAAAAAGATTACCTTCAGTTTTTAAGATGTCATATATTTAGGGACCACAAGAAAATCCAATAGAGTACCCTAATATTACCATTATTTTTATCTATATTTAGCTATATTTTCTATTGTGTGAATGTAAATTCGTAATAACTTTACTAAGATTTAAAAAAGTTTAACTGTTTTTGAAATAATTTTAAATATGCAGAGTTTCAAAAATAGTACAAGAACTAGTTACATTTCACACGGATTCATCAGTTTCTACCATGAAACAGTTCATGTACTGTGATACAGGCCTAATGACATGTGGCCTGCTTCTCTCATTGTGCGTATAATTGAAATTCTTTGAAAGTTACTGTATAGGGCACAAAAAATACTGTTAGGATGCTGACTATTTGAAGATTCCAAACACGGTAGACTGTCAAATGATAACCATTTCTATTATGATGAGAAAGAGACGATTATACATTTCAGAAGCTCTCTTTGTCATATTTGTCTTCAGATGATAACCATGTGATAAAGAATATCTCGAAAGAGTGGAGATTTAAATTTGGTTATCATCTACTTGTAAGTAATGATGGAACTTTATTAAAGCTGCAGAAATATCATAGATCATCAGAGAATGAGAAATGTCTGTGGCCCCACGCTCAGCGCTAGGTGGCACCCATTGATTGCAGGTGGTGGAAAAGAAAATTCTCATTTGTAAGTACCTCTGCATTTGTCAGTATGGTATTGTTCAGGCACTTCTTCTTTCCTAACATTGATATTGAGAATACAGTCACAGAATAAATTAACTAAAGACATATTAAAGTCACAAAGTCTCATAGGTGAGCATTCAGTCCTCTTAAATGAAGAAATAGTAGCGTTAAGTAACTTTGTTGCTCTTTTTTTTTTCTTTTTCGCAGCCACCTCTTCCTGTCAAATAAATAGAGTCATCAGCCATCCTACTCTTCCCATCAGCATCACTGCTCATGAAGACAGGCACATCAAATTCTATGATAACAACACAGGTAAGTGTTTATTACAGAGTGATCAGTGTTAAGATAAATAAATAAAACCCATAAGTAGGCTGACTTGGGTGTCTGTTAGTGGCTATATAGTCTAGGAATAAGCATGGAAACAAATACTCTTCCAGCTCAGTTTCTGTTCATTCTGTCCAAATCTGCTAAGAACTAGTTTTCATGATAGCATATAAAATCATCTTAGGTTATTTAAGTCATTTACTTAATGTTTTATTTATTTTTGAGAGACAGAGTACAAACGGGGGAGGGGCAGAGAGAGAGGGAGACACAGAATCCAAAGAAGGCTCCAGGCTCTGAGCTGTCAGCACAGAGCCCGATGTAGGGCTTGAACCCACGAACAGTGAGATTCACGACCTGAGCCAAAGTTGGATGCTTAACCAACTGAGCCATCCAGGTGCCCCTCATCTTAGTTTATTTAATAATAAGTAGATACTATGTTTTGGCCCTAGCACCAAGGTTATCACTAGGGACACAATTGAAAAGGTCATTTAAATACCAATAAAATTGATCTCTTGCTGTGAATATGTTGGGGAAAAGTAGAAACATGTTAGAAGTAAGAGGCATATGATCATTATATTTTGTTTAAAATTGTTCAAGTTTGGGGTGCCTGGGTGGCTCAGTCAGTTAAGCATCTGACTCTTGATTTCAGCTCTGGTCATGATTTCACAGTTCTTGAGTTTGAGCCTTGGTTCATGAGTTTGAGCCCCATGTCAGGCTCCACACTGACACTGCGGAGCCTGCTTGGGATCCTCACTCTCTCCCTCCCTCTCTCTCTCTCTTTCTCTCTGCCCCTCCCCAGCTCACAGTTTCTCTGTAAATAAATAAACTTTAAAATTGTCCAATGTTGGAGAGCCTTAGTGTTGGAGATAGAAACCCCTAAGTCATTTGTTTTTTTGATTCAGTTTTCCATAGACTGCTCTTTTCGGTATTATAATATTGACTATCTGGTCCTGATTGATTTGAATTACTATATGTAAGGTGGGGAGGATATGTGGGCTTTCCCATTTTTTATTAGCTTTCATTCACTAGTCAGAAGGAAATTCCTGAAGAGCTGTGTTCGGAGGAAAACACTCCATATTGGCAGCCATATTTACCTGAGTATCTGCTATTAGCTTTGTAGATATATTAACTTTTGCTGACTTTGCTTAGCTGTGAGTAATGAGTAATTTAATATTTTAATCCCTTTCTATATGTTGTTTCCACCAATATTGTGGCCAGGTTTTCCCTCCGTTCCTTTGTCTTTCCGTCTCTTCTGTTCTCACAACCCATATAATTTGCCTGTAGCTAAAGGATGCAAAGTAGGTGATTCATGTCTTAGTCTTAGTTAATGAACATGGCTTAAGGGAATATTTGTGTATAAATGACTGACTTTTATATTGCTATTTGAAAGACAGAAGTATAATCTGAAATTTAAGCTTTTGTTTCTCATTACCATGGCTAGAGCAGGAGGGAGACACATTGTTTTAGCTGTGATGGAAAAAGCTATTGATGCAGTAAGTACACAGAGAGGGGTGACTGGAGAAATCAGTGTAACATGGTAACTGGCGTATGTTCAGGATGAGGAAAGCTGTTAATAAAGAGTAACAATCTCTTTTTCCCAAAGGCAAACTCATCCACTCCATGGTAGCCCATCTAGAAGCTGTTACAAGTTTAGCAGTTGATCCCAATGGCCTGTACTTGATGTCTGGGAGTAAGTACATCAACTATGGATTATTTATTTATCCTTACTATTTTCATGTTAATGTAATTTTTCCTTTCAATTTCTTTTTCTTTTCTTCTTTTTTTTCTTTTCTTTTGATACAGGTCATGACTGTTCAATACGTTTATGGAACCTAGAAAGTAAGACGTGTATCCAAGAGTTTACAGCTCATCGGAAAAAGTTTGAAGAATCAATTCACGATGTAGCTTTCCACCCATCCAAATGCTATATAGCCAGTGCTGGGGCTGATGCACTGGCCAAAGTCTTTGTATGACACAATGCATCATCTTCACCTTCTAGCTCTTTATAAATAATCAACTGCACAAAAGAGATACAGAAGACCAGGGCAAGAATCAACCTGTCCTGCCCTTTTGTTCTGCCGAAGGAGCACAGAGAACATTTGTTAAAGTATAGTTTTGCAATTCGTATACTGTTTTCTAAAACTAAGGTTTGTTCTGGTTGCTGCAAGCTCAGCTGAATCTGTGAGCCTGAAAACTGTTTCAAAATTTCCCCCAATAGGAGCTATTATTTCTGAGGTTGTTCTAATTCGCTAGGCAGGCCTGAGCGAACATAGGTTTAGCCTGTCCCTATTGAGTAAATAGGGCATGCTATAAGGGATAATTAAAAAGCTTGATGACTGGGAATGATAGAGGAAGAACAGAAATTTAGACCCAGTTCTCCCCTGAGAAATCTTGTTAACCACATTAGGTAGTCAAAACAGTAATCTTTACCATATCTGCTGTACTAACCCCGATGTGCATAATGAGCAGGCAGTGTTCAAATGAGTTTTTAATTCAGCTCTCCTTTCATCTGTGCACATAAAAGCACCTGGCAAAGCATTTTACCATTAGGGGAAAAAAAGAAATGCAATAATATGTTAAATATATTATTATTCAAAAATGCTAAACAAATATTTAGTTTGTAAGCAGATTTCTATATTGTATTACCTTTTTGAAAATAGATTTGGTACCATTGTAAAGTTAAGCTGTCAAAAACAGTCACCATTATCAATAGTCAGTAGAGTCTGCTTTTACTAAAGAATTTAACTTATTCAGGTTCAAGATTCTGTTTATTTTTAAGGGCAAGCAGGGCATATCTTGATAATTTCTATTAATTTTAAAATTCACTTTATTCATGTGATATTTCTAGTACCAGAGTGGTTATCTCATATTGATGAAATCTTACCTTTTAGTGGTTGAAAAGACGGAAGTTATCTGTGAGTACTTGTTTTTCAAAATCCACATAACCATGCTTCGGATGACCTCTTGCTTTTTCTTTGTCTCTCATATTCAAATTATCTGACACCTACCAAAAACAGTTTATAATTATGTTTTGACAGCCCAAAGGGTATGGTTAATGTCAGGCAGCTGCTTTTGCAGTACTAAATAAAGCACCTGGTTTGTGCCCCAGAAGTCTTCCATTAATCTATCCAAGAAGAAGAGCCCGCTGGAAATCTGGATGGAAGAGTTCAGTGCATCCCTTGGTTAAAGAGTTTTCTCTTTCCCTTCCCCTACCCCTCCATTCTTTAATTGGAGTACACAGCGTGTTTTAATAGGCAGTGTGTCAGTATTGTTTCTGTGGAAAACTGTCATAAAGGACCAGGGTTCCTTGAGCTCACCTAGGTTCCTTGAGCTCACCTAGCCTGTGACCCACATGTGACCAGCTCTTAAGATTCCCATGACCCCACTCTTTGGACCTAGTGTCTTCACATTCTTTTGTTTGCCCCAAATGTCAGAGACCAGTGTAGAAATTAGGAATAAATTATTAATGCCCAACTTTTCAGCAAAATGTATATATAGTAGTTTTCATACTTAAAATCCATATCCATAAATGTTTTAATCTTTTAATATAATTCCTACATTCCTCTCCCAACATATTCCATTGTCATAACAATGACACTTCTGATGATATGTATATTTACTCTGAAAAAGTATTCTGGTGGTGATATGGATAGTAATTGACAATTTTTCTTTAAAATTTCTGCTTTTCTGCCTCTAGAGTTTTGCAGCATACAAGCTAGATTTGCCTGGTTGATAGACAGATATACTTTAATATTTTGACACAGCTACCTTGTCATTTCATCTGTGCTTTGGTTCACAGTGGGCTCAAGGGACTCCTTTCTATAAACGAATGAATTGACCTGGACTTGAACTCCCAGGTGAATGTTTATATTCCCATGCAGATATAGAAGTCCACATTGTGTTTGGTTCATTCCTCTTTTTGGTTCTTCAATGAGTAAAAAAAAAATGGTGTTGCTAACCTAACATATTTATATAAGTATACTGGAAAATCCAGTCGGGTGCCCTTACTTGGCATGTTTATGATGGACTAAGCTATTGTTTTACCACTTACTGCTTAAATTACCTCGCAAGGTCTCCAGTGCCTGCTTTACTTACATCACTGAAATTCTCAAAACCAAGAAAGTCTCTTCCTTTACATTTTATACCTCCTGGTTGAAATTTCTCTCTTCGTGAGTGGAAAATGACCATGAGATAGGTAAACTGTGGTGCAGATGATGGAGCTTTGGAAGTTCTTTAGCCAGCCAGTGCCGGGCCATTGGAGACCCTAGACAGAAACAGATTCCTCTCCACTAGCACTGTGTGATCACAGCCTAGAAATGAGCCAAAGCTGTCTTCCAGCCAGAGAGATGCATAGACATGTATCTGCTTTCCCCGCCAGCCTATCAGAAATTTAATCCCCCAAATGAACAAATTCAAGATTCACACAGTCATTGAAATGCTTTCATAGTGCTTGGTTTGTAAATATTTTGGGTGAAATGTACTGGGAGAGTATGAAAATCAGCAGGAGACATGGTCCCTGCCTTATTTTCATATGCTATGAATACATCTCTGGGACTTGCAGCACCCTTCTCAAAACCCAGATGTCATATGGAGCTCATTTGCTACTCGAACCCTAGACAGGTATTTAACATAAGTGATATAATGACCTTCAGTATTTTTCTATTGAACAAGTTTAGCGATTTTTGCCATTAAACAGATAATTAGTTATGCAAAGTATTTAGCTTTTATAATCATTTTAGTTATGACTAAAAGGGGGGAAATTATGCTGCATCACTGATAATGAACTTTGTGAAAAATTTTTGTTTATCTGACTTTCATTCCTTCAGTATTCTTGCTATAAATTTCTTTTGGAGATAATGATAAAGATTTATTTGAAAATGTCTAAAATGTATGTATATTTTATAAATATATATTATATATATTGTAGGAATATATATAATATATATAGACTATATATATTATATATATATTATATATATATATATAAACCATAGGTGCATTTTACTGTTTTGTATTTTCATTCTTAGAGGTCGTGTACACCACAGGTAATGATGAGTATGATGAGTGTTGTGCTGTTTGCTTTTGCAGTATAATATATAGTTCTAAATGTTTCAATTACTGTATATACTATATTCATTATAGGCTAGCATGCTTGTTTTAAAGACTGTCATTCTAGTTTATTAAAATCTGAATGTAAGAAAACCTGGCTATTCAAATGTGAATTGAAAAATATTCCATTCTCAGTACTGAACTATTTCCATTGAACATTCAGGATTTTTTTTTAACAAAACAGATATCATCAAGAAGGCAATCGCTAGAGAATGAGAGGTGCCTTTAAAATAAAATACAAATGCAGCCTTACAGTGAGGATGAGGATTGAGCCTGGGGGGGGGGGGGGGGGGGGGGGGGGCTATGGCAGAGAGAGATTGAGAGACAGAGAGAGAGTGAATGTGTGTGTGCGCGTGTGCGTGTGTGTTTGCCAGTCTGTGAAGATCCTGATTTGTGACCATCAATGTCTTTTCAGTGTATCTGCTCAACTTCTAGGATTTCAAGGGACATTTCATGCACTGTCTTCGTGCTCTTCTGAGCACCACGTGTACTTTCCAAGGATTTTGAATGTGAATTCCTAGAAATTTCAGTAGACAGGAAAATAACTATTCTTTCATGATAGTTAAGTTCAGGTAAAAGGAGAAATTATTGATTCACCAAAATTATGGGATCTTCTAATGTTGGCTAGGTAATTTTGTAAAAATGTAATTTTTAAAGGCTTACTTTTTTAGTACTTCATATATTTCCCTCTTACACAAGAGCATGCCATGAAATTCTTCTGTGATGAAGATCCAACTAGTAAAAATTATTTTTAGATTAAACACCTGAACTAGTTAAAATACCACCTAAGAATAGTGTTTAAATGGCATCTTTCATATCTACCTCGTTGTCATTGCTGCCATTTTAATGAAAGCAAATCTTTATGACATCAGAAATGACTGGATGCAATTTCTTCGTTGGTGCTTTTCTCAGGCTTTGTCATTTAAGTTATATTGAACTAAGATGTCACAAATCAGACTGAAAGACTCAGAGTTTTGGTTTTCTTTTGAAAGAACTGCTTAAAATTTATCATCAGTGTTGATAGTGAGTGGATATAGTTCAACTCTGGTTAGTATACGTCTGTGATATTTTCAACCAAGAGCCAAACTGTTACTGAATTTACATGGAAAAAGAGCTCTAAGTACAGTTTTCTTCAGCTTACTTTATTCTTTGAAAGCTATTTCAAGGCTATTTAGTACATAATCATTAATTTTATGTACTCAGAAGTTGCCTTTGTTACTGTTACTTGTCTAGTTATTTATATAATTGCAGTACTTTATGTGTTTGACACTGGGATTCAGGTTGTATAAAAGTAGTAGCTGACCGAAAATTATATGTATATTTTTGTGAAATGTATCAATTCCAGAAGTTCCTTTTAGGGGAAGGTCCAGAAAACATGTCCATCTTTAAAAACAAAGGACAGGTCATTGGTAAATGATTTGAATCATTTTTACTTTCAGCACTGGAAGCTTTTTAATTGGCCGTATCCATCATCTAGCTGGACCTCCATGTCAGTGTAAGGGACACCAGATTGACAAAGTATTTAGCAGATTGCATCAGTTTTGTTTTTGTTTTTCTGTTTTCGTTTTTTTTCTTAATAGGAAAAAAAAAAAAAAAAACACAAAAAAACAAAAACCAAAAAACTAATCTAGGCCAAACAGAGATCCCTAGATTCCACTTACTTATTCTAGCAGTATTCCTGAAGTGGTGCTTAGGGGTCAGAATTTTCTGGATCTTTGCTAGTTAAGCTTTAGATTTGATTTAACTGGGACCACATGGTTGCCATCCCTGTGATGCAAATTAGAAAGTTCATTTTAATTTAGATTAACTTTAATGTCTGCCTGGATTTTTAACAGGCTGTGAACCAGTGAGTGCCTTGTTAATG